GGCGAGGAGAGGTGTCCCACAGCCGAGAGCATCCCCAGCACCACAGCTCTCCAGAACCACTGAGACGCACAGCTCTGCCACGCTCTCACGCGGGAGGCCGCTACCAAAGCTGTCGGAGCCCTAAATGTTTTAGCAGATCAGAAAACCCAAAGACCACATGCTTTCGTGAGCCAGTCTGCTCCTAAAATTCCACTGTGCCGAGCCAGAGCTCCAGGGCATGGAAGCCAGGATAAGCCTTGCCCTGCCCCACAGCCCCCCGTGCACACTCACCTCCCAGTTTACACCATTTACTACTTCATTAAGCTTGGCTAACGTCCAGTTTCAACTCAGGAAATAAGCACAAAATGCTTAAGAGAGGAAAAGCAAGAGGGGACATGAGCCACAACGCAAGACAATTCTCAACGTAAAGCCATCCTGCTGTTCGGTGCTCGAACAGAAAGAACTGCGGCAGCGCAGCTGGTTTTGGGGCCACAGGTTGGTGGGAAAGTGCCACCAGCGAGGGGTGAGCGGAGCAGGGGGTCCCCGATCACCCACTCGGGCTGAGAACCGCCTGCTCCAGAGCTCAGGTAGGAGATTACTTTCGTTCCTCGTTTGCTATGGAGAGCTCTAGCCAACATCTTACATGGAGCAAATAAATACTTCAGGGATCCCAGTAGTCTTTGCACGTTGGAATCGAATTCAAATCGAAGGAGTGTCCCGACTTTGTTCTGTAAATTAAACGAAAGGCTTTTAATGATGTGAAATCTGCAAACACGAGGATCTGTGGTCAGTACGTGGTGCTGAAATTTTGGGAAGAAAGAGGCGGGAGAGGAAGAGATTCACTTCAACCATCGGATGGGAAACACAGTCATTTTTGAGACTCATTATTGATCCGTACCTGTCCGTAAGCAGCCGAGGAGCCGTTATCCCTCCTTCGGTGGCCCAGGAGCGGTGCCCCAGACCGGGGGAGCAGTGCCACCCCGAGGGCTGCTCCAGAAACAGCTCACGCCATCCGACATCTCGCCCAAGTCAGCAGCTATTTTTTTTCCACCCCTTCTGACCAAAGAAAGCTTCACTTTGCCAGCTCTGTTTCAGCTGTCTTTCAAACCACCCTCCTCCCTCCATCCCAAGGCAAGCACGCCTCGCTCAACAGCAGCTCCAGGTTAGGGAAATAGCTTCAACGACAACTCAGGACATTTATTCACGAGGCTGGAACGTAAAAATAACATCTTTAATAGCTTTATAGTTGGCACAGATGGTATTAAAATTCACCACTTTTTATGAATAGACTATGAAACAACACATAGTGCAGTGCCAAGGAGGGCAGCTCAGCCTGCATGTTGCTTCTAAACCATGTAGCTATGACAGGTTGGTATTAGAGTTGACTCTTTTCATTTACATTCAGCATTTATAGTCAAGAGAGTAAAACCAACAGCTAGATTTAACCACACGCACACAGAGAAAAGCCTGGGAAGGATGTTTCTGCTGGCAACCAATGTCTCCTCCTCTTAGCAGCCCACAAAATACCAAAAATGTAGTGGTAATACAGGTTACAAGAGAGACTTGCCGTAGCTACCGTTGGCCAAATGGCACATGACACAACGCAGGAGCTTCTGCTCACATCTGAATGGAACAGTTACTGCAGTGAAAGAGTCCCGTTTCCCTCGTCCAGGAGAAGTGAAGGCTAGACCAGCGCTTAAGATATTAAGACATAGCCTAGAAGCTCTGTCAGTGGCGACAGGATTTTTTTTTTCGGGAACCTAGAACACAGCGGAACAATAATACTTTACTTTCTGAAGTACTTTTCGCGAAGGGCCTCTAGCAAATCTCACCGCTGCCCTGTGAGACAAGCAAGTAGTATTATCCTTGTATAGATGTAGACGAGATGGCAGAGGAATCAAACGGTTAAATGACTTGCCTTGGAAAGCAACAGCAAGCTGATGGTAGATCAGGGGCCTTGCAGAAAAGCCCCATTCTGACAAAAAAGAACTTACAGCATCAAGGACTACTACGTAGGATAAAAATAACTCCCACCACCACTTCACAAGAGGGGAAGGGGAAAGGTTGAAAGCATCCCAGAAGATGTGAGCAGACAGAATGGGAAAAGTTAGCAGTGTCAGCCTGAAAAGAACAAATATAAACCATCCGAAAAGACGCTCCCAACTCTTGGGATCTGCATCCAAACCAGCACACCACGAACTCACGCTGGCAGCTGTGTTCCTTAACCATCCTCGTGCGCTTGTTAGTCATCCTCGTTCAAATGGATAGAGTCTCTCCAGCATCACCGTATGCCTCTAGTAGTGACCACGTGCAAAACTTTTATTTGGGGAACATTTATAGGTCTCTGGCAAGATTATAACTTGTTTAATGAAGAATTTAAGTCCTCAGTGAAAACATAATCACCGACACTGCTGCAGATACATTTTGCTCATCAGCAACTGCATTCTGACAAATATTTAGATTGTTCAACCTAGTTATCCAAAAGTCACTGTTCTTAACGACCCTGAAGGAGCCAAGATACCACAGTCACTCTCAACCATAAATTTTCTTATCATTTGTTGGTTTTAAAAATTTCCAGTTTCTACGGGTACTCTATAATCACAATAAATTATGAGGCATTTCTGGCCTCTGTTATGAGGAATTCCCTCTCACCATCACGATCGGGTGCCGACACGGAGGGAGGTAAGAATGCATAGTGAGGTCTCCCATCATCTGTCCTCTGTCGAGGTCACTTTTTTTTTTTCATCTAATGACCCTGCACTGACAAGGTCTCCGTTTTGTCTTTAGTTTCAGCAGGGGCCTTGCCACCGACTGCTTTGTTGGAATAATCTCGCTCTCCAAAAATAGTGCTTCCAATCCTGACGTTTGTGGATCCAACCTCTATCTACAAAGAGACAGAAAGGAGGAGTTCAGGGCAGGGCTCCCACCCACACCTGCCAACACAGTCAGTCATCAGCCTTGACGCTCGTCACGTCACAGGATGGTTCCCCATGTACTCACATGTCCGCAGCTACAGCTACGGTCTGTTTTGATCCCCAGAACTCTATCCCAGGACAAGGAGAGCTGTTTTTCATGGAACAGCACCATCAATATCTCCAATTCAAGGGGAGACCTGAGTGTTTGGATGATGCCTGGGCTGGGCTTTGGGGTGCCTACTGCTGATGCTGGTATGTTTGTTTCCCGAGAGAATGAGTGGCAGAAGGAAACCAGGCTTACTGCGTGCTGGAAGTCTGTGGACATGCCCATGCTCAGCTCCACCTTCTCAACGGGGAGATTCAGTTTTTCACACACTTCCTGCCGCAAAGATAGCAGCATCTAGAAAGGGAGGAGGAAAGAAGAGAGGATCACACACTTGACAGCCACACCAGCTCAGTTTCAGGGTTTCACAGATCACGGTTTCCGCCGTTCTTTGAAGTCTCCTTCACACACAACGTGCAATTCCCACACTTCCCACCAAAGCTTGCTCTGTAGCATCGTAACAGCACCTGGAGATTTCCCATTAAAAGCCACATTACTGACAACACACGTACTTACAAGTCTACACATCTTCTGAAGACAATAAATTATCACAACAGCATGACAGCTGAGGAACAGACCCAGTTGCCCTGGGCACACAATGTGCAAAGGACGGCTGACAGAAACGTCATCTGAAAGCAGGACCTGAGGAGCCAGGACAGTAACTACTGCACAAAGTGCCCGCCCCGGTATCCTTGGTTTCACAGAATAGATAGGATCAAATACATATGGGCACCTGGCCTCTGCAGAAATGCGCCCAACACCAACATTAACACTGGTACTTCAGAGCTCTGTACCACCCTGAGCAAGGCGTTTCTATTGACAATCTACAGTCAGACTTACAGCTTGACCGCATACTGCTTCAGCTGGGACAGACAACAGACTGTAACGGGAGGTCAGCCAACAGTTGACATTTTCTTCTAGGAAAATCTTACCTGGAAGTCAGGATTTGGCCCCTTACTAAGGTCATGCCCGATGCTGCCAATCGTCATCAGCCCCACAAATTCCAGGCTTGGACACTTGTTGATGACATGCTCCACAGCAGCCGTGGTGTCTTCAGGCGGAAGGCCGTGTTTACCTGGTGAAAAGCAGGCAGATCTGTGCCAAACTCTGCCAGAGACGTCCCCGCCCCGCAGCCAGGCAGAAGTTAACAGATGAGCAAGTTTCATCCTAGCTTAGAGAAACGCTTGAAGAGCGCAAACCAACCCACCCCATTCAGGTTGTTTCTGTCAAGTCAGCAGGACAAACCTGTGTATCATCAGAAAAAGCCACTCACTGTCTTCTCCACTCGTGTTAACTTGCACCATGACCTTCAGCTTCTGAGACGACCCTTTTTTCTGCCATGAGCTGTTGACTCTGTCTGCCAGTTTCACAGAATCCACTGTTTCCAACATGAACAGGTTAGGGACAGCTGGGGAGAAAACACAGGCTGAAGGCAATTCTGTTAGCACGGAAATTTTTGTACCTACAACTCAGCTTGCTCACAGAGACAGGCATTGGTGAGTTAATGTATATGAGGTTATTATTATTTGAACATTGGAAGACTGTTGCCCGCAGGGACGTTGCACATAAAATTAAATAGCATGTACCGATCAACTTGTTGACGTTATTTTTCTGCAGATGGCCAATAAAATGCCACTTAATCTCTGGACAAGACGATAGAATCTGAAAGCAGAGAGAAACAGTTAGGTTTGAATGACAATTCCCTCTTCTCCCACACAGTACTTAAGTCTTAGTTTGCCCACAAACAAAATACCAGACACCTAATCTTCTTCTTCTGTTTACCCCGAAAGACACAGCTCAGGCAGTGCTTGTGGTATGTACCGAGATTGCTTCACAGTCTGGAGAGGAACCGGGCTGTGGCTGCAGAGCATTATGTGGTGAATGGGGAAGGCAAAGCTCTTTTGTAACTGAACAGCCGTAAAATGGTATTTTCCCCAAACTAAGCGTTGCTATTTTTTTAAACAAGGACTGTGTATCTCCTACACCAGAAAGCACAGAAGGTAAAGCACTGTTCAGACAAATACTTTATGACTAAGGCACACGTATCCACAGACTCCTCCAGAGACAGCAAGGCAAGGAGGGGGAACACGACACAGGCAAAGAGCCAAGAATAACCCCACCACTTATCTAAAAAGCCAAAGATCAAATAGCCTCCATCACCAAATCCCTAACAAAAACCAGGACTTTTGCTGAACAGTTCTCAGGACACAACTATACAAGGAGAGAGAACGTATAAGGAACTGTGTACTTACTCTGGAGTCTGATGCCTTTTCTAGCAATTCTTGAACCTAGGAAAATTCAAGACAATCTCTCATTAAAACCACGCCAGAAGTGCCTGCGTAAGAACAGTCTCTCTGAAACGTATGTTCCTAGGACCAAGGTGTGTCTCATAAATACAAGGCCAGGGGCCTGACGCTATAACCAAGCCTAGCTCCCCACGCACAGAGCCACATGCACTGGCCTGTCCTGTGCCTGCCTTCAGCGTGGAGGCCCCGCTCACAGACCCGTGGGGCCCAGCCAACTCACGTAGTTCTCCCCGAAGCTGCGCTGCCCGTGGCTGTAGGCGTCGAGCACCATCTCTGCTGGCTTCGTCTTGCTGACAGCCACCAACCGCGGCTGCACGGCCGGGAGCCCCTG